AACGCGGACCACAACTCGTATATGAGGTATCGGTTAAGTTAAACGTTGAGCTCATTTTACCGCAACTCAAGAGCGAAGGCTTTCTGTTCTTCGCAATCGATTCCATTGAACTCTCGTAAGAACAGAGATCTTCGCCCGCAATAACACCCACTTCTATATCGGAGTCGTTTTGTGACGAAAAACTATACTTTCGTTTAACCTCTTCATTGTTTTTCGTGAATTTCTTTTGTTTCAAATTCACAGTTTCGCGGCTTATCGTTGTGTTAGATGTGCACAGAGTTAACACATCCTTCACGTAAACTAAATGCAAACAATTCAGTCATTAAACAAATTAACCAAAAAACGCAAGTATGAGTCAACAAACCCGTGCAATCCTGAGCCACATAACAGCATATATTGTTCAAAATGGGATTACTTTCGGCCGCTTTACTTAAGGCCATCCTTTGAGACACAAAACCAAATCAATTAAAAATCTCAATTTACTTCACAAACAAGCGATCACTCACTTAAGTAGATGCGCGACAGACGCCGGGCCGTACCAATCGCCCGCTCTTTTGCCCATTTGTTCGCCAAATCTGACCAATTGGTGGACAGAGAAAGGACTGCAACTGGGGTTCGGGTCGTCGGCGAACCACTTGACAATCATTCTGTGAATCATATCTTCTTTGTCGGACTGCGAGCCCTTCCATCTCCAGTGTCGGCCGAGATAATGGGTGAGCAATCCCTGCGCCAAAACCATTTGCCCCGACCTCAACATACAGCCCCAACCCGTGTCCGACGTCAACGACGAGTTGTCCAGTTTGGGGAACTGTCGTCTGTATGTCAACCATATTCTCGAGTAAAAGTCGTGTCTAAACATATCCATCGCCGAACTCTTGGATTCATTATCATCGCGACTGCCGTTACTGTCCGTCAACTTCTTGTGATAAAACTGTCCCAAAAGACAAACCGGTGACTCATAACTGAAACGGGTCTTCAGTTTTGTGGCGAAACCTGTGAACCGATAAGACAATCATTGGTATTACAAGTGATTGTGAAGAGTGGAAGCGCTGAAGTGATACCGAATTTAACGTTATTCCAGAGCGAGAGAAACATTGTCTTCACTTTATCGCCGCCGGGATTGTCGTCCTCTTCGTCGTCCTCATCGTCCGAATGGGCGGACAATGACTTCTGGCCATCGATTGAATGGTTAGAAAATTGTGGTAACGTTTGAGATCTCATTGAATCCGTGGATCTGTTGGATAGCGAACTCAAACTCAACCGCTGTTTGGTCTCAATGTTTGACAACTTTTTACAATTCATTTCACAAATTATATGAAATTAATTATAAAATCAATTGATTTTCAAAACAATGTATCGATTGATAAAAAACACTAAACAAAAGCCATTGACTCCGATATGAGTCTCGCTTTCAATCAAAACAAATGATTGTATCGTTTGTTTTGAAATCACTTATGAATTGCCATTCATTTGAATGAAAATATATTTTTTACTCACTATTTGGCGTACGTTTCGCACAATCAATACTTTTGTGTCAATCAGTTTACAGTGTATTTTAAACTTTTTTTTAAAATTTAATTATAAATCAATTCATTCATTAAATCTCGTATTAACTTAATTATGCTTTAAATCCATTAACTATTGAATCAATTAAATCATTTATATTATGAAACTTTATTTTTAAAATAAACTTTTTAAAACTTTTTATTTTAATTCGTTTGCATATAATTTATAAAAAATACTTATAAAAGTAAAATACATTATAAATTAAATAATTTCTAAACAAATCCAATTAAATGAATACTAATAACGGGCTAATAGTCTTCCGTATGATATAATTCAGTCAATAGTCTGTAGACATAAGAGGGAGAGTTTCCGCCACTAAAAACAAATGGAGACAATAATAAGTATTAATTGTCATAAAAAGTATAGTCAAGTGAAGGAGTGCTTACATATTGGAGACAAAAACAGTGACCAATTCTGGCGGAACGTAATCAAAGACCGGATTAACGACATGACAATCGGTGGCCATATTTGCGTCTTCGTATGACATCACTTGCTGTGGAGATGAGAACTTATTGAACGCCAACTGGTCGTGACTTACGAGGTATTGTGGCGTCAGCTTAAACATTGCCGTACAGACTATCAACTGATCCAATGTTATCATTAGTTTGCGGCTTATTATTAGTGTTATAAACATTATATACAAACCGGAACTGAATAATGCTTTGCGGCCAACGCTAAAGTATAGGCACCGCTCACGGCTTTCAAACTACAAGTGTAATTAATGGCATATAATAGTATTTAACTAGTGTTTAAAATATTATAAAATATAATATGAATCAATGATAACAAACCCTCCGTTAGCCATAACAGAATGAGTTCCGATAATAACTTTGTTAACTCTTGACATAATGGCAAAAATGGCCGAATCGGGTATTATTGTTGTATTGATCTTCTCGTTGGACAGACTGGCGGCCAATTCGTGACCCTTTATATAATACAAGTGATAATAATTAGTAGATTTGTTGCGACAAAAGTGTGAGAAATGGCATACATTATAAAAGGGCGCGCATTCGGCGATCACCACTTGGAAGCGTCGTTTCTTTTTGGCCGCGTATTTCAGAAAGGCTTCGACGGTCTTAGACTTCCCGCACGTCATAATCACTTCGTCTCCATAGATGTGTTCGAGTGACTGCTCGGCGATATTCTCACCGCTTGTCTCCAACTCTGAGATCAATTCGCTGATGGAATCGTTGATGGATTCCTTTAAATTGTCATATTTTATATCATAAGTCAAAGTCATGTCTTCGTCGGTTGTCATCATCTTCTGGAGCGACTCTTCCACTTCTCCCTCGTTGTGAATGCCCTTTGCGTTCAGGTATTCGTCTCTAACGATCTTAAGTACTCTTCTGAACATATTTCCGGTCACTGTTTCGGTCGGTTCGGCGGTTATCACCACTTCTGCCATCTCTTTGAGCACAACTATGAGTTCGCTGTCAATCAAATCGTTATATCATATGTGACCCAAAATGAGTGTCATTTGCATCAATACCTGGCGTTTGTCCACAAGAACTGATCGATCACTTCCTGAATGATGTCAACCGTCTTCTTCGCCGTTTCATACGAGCCATTGGTTTGTCTTTTAAAGAAAAATTGTCATTTATTTGAAATGAAGACAACATTTTGTAATCATTTAATGAATACAACTATAATATAAATCAAACCCGAGTTTTAAGTCTTTAATCAAATCAATGACCTTCTGGTGAACCGAAAGATCTCTGATTTTATCCATAATTTGGTCACAATTTTGAAGAAAACTCTTTCAAAATAATGCAAACAATTTGTAAATAAAAACTAAAATATTGTTCATAAATAGTGTTACAAACTTTGACCCCCTTTTCAACGCTATAGTTCTCGTGTACTAAAAGTTTGCACAATTGTAACACAAACTCAATATACGGGTAATCTTTACTCAATATTTCATCACAATTTACATCATTTAATCATCACTTAATGATAACTCAATTATTCAGTACTGAATATCAAGACTTCTTGAATTACATGCAATATTTGCAGTCAATCTTATCATCACATCATTGTCTCACAAATTATTTATTAATTACAAATTATTTTAAAGTAATTTATGTTTATTTTAATTGATTTAAATTAAATGTAAAACATTATTGAATTTTTTGATAAAATGAATCGAAATAAATGGTAAATTGTTTAGTCGTCGGGAGAAATAGACTTTCGGCGAGACTTGTCATGACTGGAACGATGGGATGGCTTCTCCTCGCGGTTGGAATCGTAGCCCTTTTCCTCTTCCTCTTCAATCTCTCTGTCATAATCACGTCGAGTACTGGACTTCGACTCTTTGGAAGTCCTTTCTCGCGGTTCAGGGCTTTCATCCCTTTTCCTCTTTTTCTTGTCCTTTCGGTCTCGACTCCTCTCTCTCGGGCGGTCCCTTTCCCTATCTCTATCCCTTTCCCGATCTCTGTCCCGATCCCTATCCCGTTCTTTGTCCCTCTTCTTCTTGTGGCTCTTTGTAGGAGTTTTGGATCTCTTTCTTTCCCGACTCCTAGACCTGCGTTTAGGAGATCGCGAACGTCTGGAACTGTACTTTCGCGGCGGACTCACAGATAATGATTTCGGAGACTTTGATAACTCTCTAGAATGAGATCGAATGGAATGGGACTTATCCTCAGTCTCTGGTGTTTCCATGATTTCTGGTGTCTTAACAATAGATTCAGTTTCTGTTTCGGGCGGAAGTTCTGGTCCTTCTGGTGTTGGTTCCACTTTAACCTCCACTTTCACTTCCACTTTAGGTTCGATGTCCAACGACTGCGAGAGTGATATCTCTCTCGGTTTCTCCAATTGTTTCGGCTTTTCGTCTCTTTTCTTGGATCTACTTCTGGAACGCCTTCGCGATGACCTCTCCTTATCTCTGTCTTTATCCCTTTCCCGGTCTTTATCCCTATCTTTATCCCTATCTTTATCCCTCTCTCTATCCTTATCCTTATCCCTCTCTCTTTCCTTATCTCTACTCCGACTCCTTCTCCGTCTCTCTTCTCTCTCCCGACTCCGACTACTCCTGCGATTTCGATGCCTTCTCTCTCTCGATCGGCGCCTCTTTTCGCGCGAACGCGATCGCGAACGCCTTCTCTCTCTGGACCTCTCGCGTGACTTTCGAGTTCGAGAACGCGATCGACGTCTCGATCGTGAAGTACTTCTCCGAGATCTAGATCTCGACCGCGATTTACTTTTGTCTTTTCCCGCGTATTCCAAGATTTTATCCAATTTGACAGCAAATCCCGGTTCAATGGCCGCAGATATCAACGACTGGGCCTCGCGGACCCGTTTCATCGCCTCTTCGATCTCTTTTTGAGCCGCTTCTGAACTCTTCGCCTGCGGTTTGACAATAGAATTGTTCGAATGATTTATTCTATAGTTTAAAAATGGGATTAAAGACAATCAGCGTTCAATTGATCCGTATTTGCAAATCAATTCAAACTGACTTAAGTGGTCGGCCGCCGAATATCACGCCATTGTATTGGAGAGCATTGGCCACTGAAGACTGATCAGTGAACTCAACAAATGAGAAACGAGTCGGTTGTGTCTCATCGCCGGCCATACGAATGTACTTCACTTCTCCGATTTGATTGAAGAACTTAAGCAACTGTTCGGCCGATAACTGAAATAATAAACGAACAATGAATACAATTGACTACTAATTCACTAAAATACAAGCGAAACACACTTACAGTTGAACACAGATTCCCGACGTAAACCGTTCGCCGAATTTCTTCAATCTTTGTCGGATCCATATTCGCCGGTAGCGGAGGATATTGTGGTAAACCGAGTGCCGTCAGCCGCGGATCAATTGTTGTGATCACTTGAGCGCCGCCCACACCTGTCACCTATTTTTTGATAAATAAAAAATTTTATTACTGGTTAACGATTGCTATCGATGTCTGGATTTATTACTTGAGAGACAACACCGCTATTACTGCCGCCGCCGAGAGATCTACTGTTTGTCAAACTCAAAGCTGTGGCCGCGTCTGGAATTTTGCCTAAAACACGGGAATGAGTTATTAATTTGAATATTACAACGAGTGATGGCTGGATGTGATGCCTAAGACATACCGTCGTCGACGGGCAGAACAATGAGGGCTCTGTCGACAAACACAGTGTTAGTCAAGTGCTGAGCGACGGCTACGCTCTGACTGTCGGCGTATCGAATATAACAGACCCGAGAGGTCGGCGACAGCGCTGAGTCCCTGCAATCAAGAAGAACAAGTCATTAGTGAATCCAGTGATTGAGTGACAAATAATTGAATGACCGACTCATTGGGATAGACGACGATCTCTTTGATGGTTCCCAAGTGACCGAACAAACTCTTCATCTGTTCATTGGTAGCCGTGGGGGCGATGTTTGTCACTTGGATTACACACGTGTCCGACATTAAGACCATCGATGATAATCACTTGTGTGGACACAAATCAATTGCCAAACAATCGCTTCATTTCATGCATTGTTTGTCTCAAAACTTCAAATAATAAGCATTTCTTCGCATAAAATACGACAATAAATGTAATTATAATTAAATGCTTATTATATTTAATATACTTATTATATATTACAATAGATATAGTGTGGGATCAGATACCTGTGATGCCAACTGAAGAGTAAGCGATGATATGATAGCCAATGGATGGCCAGATGTGGTGAGAGATGTGTCCGCAAATTGAATGCTTGTTATAATCCATGCGAAGACATAATGTATGGACGACTCTATGAACACACCATTGAATCGCTTTTGCAAATCATTAGACGATTGCAACCAATTTGTGGCCAATTTTTACACACATTTTATTCACATTTTATTGATATTATTATTTAAATTAAATTAATTGTAAATTCAGTCCTAAATTATGTCAAATAAGAAGCGTTTGGTTTACTCTATAATCCAGTTCTTGAGCGATGAGCTCAAGAGTGAGACACTTTCGCCCGACTCTAAGGAATCGATTGAAGGTTTGGTTGAATGGGTTTTTTGGTGACAATTATCTCACGTATTGTTTTGATATCTCAGTTGCCGTACAATGTCTTGAGGCGGCCTTCGAAGTGAATCCCGTGGACGCGACTCTCGGCACGAGTCAAACGTTGGATCATATATTTGACGATTATCTCAAAGACAACCAAAATGTAAACAATTGCTGATTTTGCCGGTCATTGCATGATATCATCTAATGATTGAAATGGTTTGTGTCTATTGACAGTCATGCCCTCAAGGCGGTGGCTTTGTCCACAGACTTCTCGTTGCGTTTCTTCGCCTCTCTAACTTCTTGCTCCCGTTGCTTGAGTACTTCTCACTTGTCAAACTCTTTCGCGACCTTTACATACCGGCCCGCATCGATTTGGACGCTTCCAACGCTGTCTACTTCTGCAACAGGTGTTATAATCGCCACATTTGTATTGATTGGTCACTTATGCTGATTGTCTGTTGAACAGAGCGGCCGCGCACTCGAAGCTTAATAACCACGAGTTTGCGTTAGAGGACTGCAAGCGTGCCATCACTTGCGATCCCGGCTATAGTAAGGCTTACGGAAGAATGGGATTGGCGTTCGGCAACTTGAATGACCACTTGAAGTCACGCGACTGTTATCGCAAAGCCGTAGAACTCGACCCAAACAATGAAAGCTATAGAAATAATTTGAAAATAGCCGAAGACAAAGTGGCGGAAGTAATGACTTGATTCTCACAACAGTTATTGATTTATTAATATGATTGTCATTTACAGCAATCGTCTCAATTCGGTAATCCATTTGACTTGAGTTCCCTGTTGTCGAACCCGGCGCTCATGAATATGGCCACACAACTCATGAGTGATCCCAATATGCAGAATCTGTACGACTTTTCAATCCACATGTTTGTTATTTGTAATCATATATGTCTTTAAATGATTGACTCGCAGAATGGGTGGTTTGATGTCGGGTGCGATGCCTAACAACAATCAGGAGCCCACCCCTGAAGCCGGTGCCGGTCCCCCTGGCGGTGGACTCGAGGCACTTCTGCAGGCGTAAGACATGATGATATTCTTCTAATATGTTTATATTAATTGAATATAACCATTGATTTAGTGGCCAACAAATCGCGGCCCAAATGCAGGCATCAAATCCTGATTTAGTGAATCAGTTGCGGAATGTGATGACTCC